CTATTAAATAAACTAAACGTTCTTCAAAATTTCCATTGAATTTAACACTATTTTTCTTTTATTCAGCATAATATATTTACATTAGCTTGTTTAAACTCATTTACATAAATAGAAGAGCAAATATAAATGCCGTTCTCCCAGCCTCGAGTTACAGAGGGAATTTCTCTTGCAGCCTTGGCAACGCTATAATAGAAGTGATGGGTGAACAAAAGGATTTTTAGAATTTTATTTGGAAAACTGTAGACACACTTCTTCTCTCTCTATTCCCCTTATTATGTTGTAGACATTATAGTAAATAATATACTTAATCACCACCAATAACAGATAATTCAAATCCAAGCGGATGGGGGTGGGAGGCCTTGGCCTCCACTCCCACGGTCGTCCTATTCTTCTTCTCTGTGCGGCCAACTGTCGTCCTCTTCTCACTCCGTTTGCACTGCGTCCACCATTGATAAGAGCGGGGGAGGAAGGCTGATTTTTGGAACCGCTACTCAGACATGCTCCAAGGCCAATATTAAGGTCGCTGTTTCGTGAGGAAAAATCCAGCAGCGGCGCGTCTATTTGACGCAGGACGGTCCCATATTTCATTTGCAAGTGGTCTTTGATAGAGTGCACTCGCACGCCATCACACTGGTCGCAACGGAACCTATGGCTCCATGCCGTGCGTGGTGGAGGCGGAAGGTTTGGTGGTTCGCTACCTTCCGGTTACAGGAGCCGTCGAAAACTGCCGTAGCAACTTTCATAGTTGCTTCTACCCACTGCGCAATGATCAGTGTTGGAAGATGTTGCAGAGGTCTTCTTGCCAATATTTCCAACAGGTTCGTGAGTCGATACATGTCAATGTAGGCTTATATCAGAGGGCATAAAAGTTAGATTTTGACACTGCTCTTTTCCCCATTTCCGAGGGTCGTCGTGGTTTTTTGGACTATCCTCTAGGACTGAGCGCAAAATAGATAGTATAGTTTAATGCTATCGTTTGGTCTTCTTTCATAATGATAAGGGCTAGCTTTTTCCGTTCGTTTCTTAATTGCTTCTTATGAGTTCGTCCGGAACCTCCATGTAACCGGGTCAGTTTTATCCTTATGGACTAATTGAGTATTTCTTCACCAGCAAATGTGGGTTTTAACCATTGAATAATCAATGATACTCTGTCAAAGCTTGTAGAGAATGTTGCGAACGGAGACCTGCGAAGGCAACAAATCTTGAAATCGCGTAATTAATTGTTATTAAGTTCCCGTTAATCTTCCGCGAGAATTCAATATTAACTTTACCAAGTTCAAGTGACTCTGCTGCAATTCCCCAACAAAATTTTATTAGTTTTAATACTACATAAAACCAGAGAGAGAGAAAATAGTTGCAAAGGTTACATCAACCACCGAAAACTGGAACAATAACAAAGGAAAATGGGGTGACTCTCTTGGATATGAGGAGATGGGCGTGAGAATCACCCACAAGGTTAGGAGATGCCGAAGAAGCGTAGTCGAATCGTCCCTCTCTGTTTTGTTGCTTATAAGGAGGCTTTGTGGCTCCCGTTCTCGTGAGTTCTCCTGGTGCTTCTTCCCCCGATTCAGTGAACTTCGAGCTTCTTTCATTCCTTCTTCCTTACTTCTGGCACAGTACGCTATGTAACTGTATCGTGACCAAGCTTGTGTTGTTAAGTCCTCTTTATGAGATTGATGGTTATCTCAAAACACCTGCCGCCAACGTCTAGGCAGTTTACGGATTTATTATCGAACTTAGCGTGGCCTGATGGTGATTTAGGAAGTTGCAAGTTTACTGATTTGTTCGAGTTCATTATTGAGCGTGGGAGTGATCTTCGTGTCCAATATAAAATGATAATCCTCGTTGTATTGAAAGGTGGCCATTTGGTCAAGGAGGTCAACAATATTATCGCGTTTGGCCAACAGTCGGTGTGTTGATAGATCCAAACGGATAGTGGTGGTTTGAGTAGCTGCAAGAAGACTCTTCTAGCTCGGGACAATTAACAGTATCGAAAAGTCGCAAAGGCCGGAGAGGGTGGTATCAGAGAGGGCGGATACATGAGCCTTTCCTGTGATATAATACGAATATGGATGTAGTCGTCCCAGAGGAACGCATCTGCCAGTGTTAAGTCGCGACCGACAAGGTGATCAATGGAAAAGTTTGATCATTATTGACGGTTGAAGTAAGGCTCTGTGCAATTCGAAACACGGCACGAAAATGGACGGGATAACGGAGTGCTCTGCATCGTAAGCTTCGAAAACGTTGAATCTATCTACTGCATAACGAGTGAAGGCTTAATGCGCGAGGGAGCCTTTGCGTCGAAAACGGGAATCAATATCGTAGCGAAGCTGCCGATGGGTGGTGAAAGACGCTGCTTATGCGTTCCAGAACCTGATCAATTTTTGTCATGAAAACGGAAGAAGTCGCAGATCTATGTTGGCAAGTGTGACGGAGATTTGCGATTCCGACTGCTGTGAAGTGGCATCCATGTCCACTTCCACTATGGGGGATGGGAGGTGGATACGGGGATAGGTTTTCATGAAACATCTGGAGACGGCACTGCGTCATTGG